ACACATTCACACACCCATGCACAGCATCGGGAGCAATTCGGGGTTCAGTATCTTGCTCAAGGATACTTCGACATGTGGCGGGAGGAGCCGGGGATTAAACCAACAACCTTCCGATTAGTGGACGACCTGATCTGCCTCTGAGCCCCAGCCGCTGCTCTAGGAACGCCTCAAGATCCCATAGGAAGAGCTGGAGGATGTAGCTATGGAGAAAGACACGCTAACTTGCTTGGGCTGACCACAAAACAGACCTGGAAAAGCAGCGAAAGATAGATGACAAGGTTTCCTTACATCAACAGGAATGTTCCTCACATGCATCCTGCTGCATCTTTCAACAACACACACATCATGTTGCTTTGAAATTTAACTGTAACTAATTAGTCTGATATTGAAAATTCTGAAATATGACATACATACATAACCTAGTTGCCCCAAGATTCATCAGAACTGACCAGCAGTGTTTAACACATATGACAAATGGATAATCCAACGAACAAAATAATACTAAACAGAAGATGTAGAGAACCTAATCAAACACACACTGATGCATGATGCAAATTGAAGTTGAAGGGATGATGACAGAAACTAGATAAGGAACAGAGAGACTAAGTAATGGACAGAGGAAAAGATAATGAACAGATAAGCAAGTGGAAATCAATAGACCGAAAGAAACTAATACTAACGGAAACTATTAGATGAACAGAAAACCGACAACAATTTAAGTAAAGATGAGACAATTGCTTGAGAAGATAGATATATTAAGAAACGATTCATAAAACTGACAGTATGAGAGAATACCTTTTTGATTGTAATCGTAGGGACAGGGAACTTCAACCAGTCAGATCAATGAACCATATATTGTAGTCATCTTTTCTTCATCAGTAGTCTCTTACTGAAGACAGTCGGGAGAAGAGAGAAAACATCTTTTCCACAGAGAAAAGCCTTCTGTGCCATTCTTTGCTCTTCTTTCAATAAAGAAATACTCTCCGGTTCTGATAGAACTGATGCTAGCAGCTTCTATGCTAACCTCTTTAGCAGCCGCCATTGTTGTTTTTGAGCAAACAGTCCTTCTCACACACACTTAGCATTAAACCATGCCTGTGGTTAGGTTTAGGGTCGTAGCTACCAGTAGTTCCTCATTAGACGCTGATTGGTCCAAACCACTGTGGTTGGGCACAAGTGCATAGTTTAAAGCCTGGCAAGATGGATTGTCACGAAATTTCATGATCTTGTGAGTCCAGCTGCCCTTCCAAGGTTAACAACTAATTAACTAATGAATAAAAAGACATTCACCCTAATCTATTAATTTATTGTAGTTTGACAAATTCTTACCTAAAATGTATGTTTTTTTTTCATATAATATTGTTTTAAAAATGGCATAATAAACTACAAATATTCAAATCAACCACTGCAGACACTACATCTGGTTTTGTTGTGGCACTCTGTAGCCACCATGTATGACTGAATAGACAATAAATGCACATGGGGAATTTTTCATAATCATAATTAGTGCGCTGCAGTTTGTTTGATTATCAAATGCTCAGCCTGTTTAGCAGTCTGCTGTCGTATCACTAACTCTGTGTGTGCATTACTGTAGGTCCATTGACTATGACTCCAGCAGTAATTCTCTGTTTATGTTTGTAGATGTTCATAATGTTTATGGCGGTACCAGTGTCGGATGATATCAGCGTACAGCAGTGTTTTTGTGTTCTTCTCTGTATAATATTCAGGCCATTACCAGCAGGGCTTCGCATCAGTAGTGTTTTTTTCAGTAGTGTGTTTGTTCATTGTGCTTCCATAATATCACTATAGGTCCCCTCTAGTCAGGGATGGCCTCAATAGCTGTCGATGAGCCCGCCGACGGCAGAACAAGCGTCTGATTGGTGTGACACTAATCAGCACTTCACACTTCTTTCGCTCTCATTACTGCTAATGAGCGGATCCCTGAACCCAGCGAGGGGCCGCCGACTCAGCCAATTACAGGCCTGTTTGTTCAAATAAACACAGCCATGGTGGGATAACATGGAAGGAGAGAAGGCAGAGGCTGTGGGCATTATGAAATATGAATAGCCTCAGATATGGGCTCTATAGAAAAAGGAATTAACTGTTATTTGATAATTTGATCGCCTTAATTGCTTCTCTGTTGCACAAATGATTGTTAATACTTAAGACAGATTGGTCACGGCTGTGCACATATGTATGTATGTGTGTGTGTGTGTGTGTGTGTGTTGGCAGAGTCTGAATGGCACATATTACCATTCATAATGCAACCAAGCTGCTGGAAACTGTTACGCTTGGAGCTTTTTGACTTGGTTTATTGAAAACATCAGGTTTGTTTGCTGTGAATGTACTCATATCTCTGTTTGTCTTCCTCTTTCTCTTTCTCTTTCTCTGTCTCTGTCTCTCTCTCTCTCCCTACAGAGACAGGAGAGCAGGGAGGTGTTGGTAGGAATGTTGTTCCTGGTCTTTCCCTTCATTCCTGCCAGTAACCTTTTCTTCAGGGTGGGATTTGTTGTGGCCGAGAGGGTCCTCTATATGCCAAGGTGAGTCAGAATGTGTGGGCATGTACTTACATTTATATTTGTATTGTGAATTTCTACCCCTACTCTTCTATAAAGAGTAAATAGATATAATGCCTTGGAGAAATCTTGTTGGTCTTGGTTCCTTCTGTAGGTCCTGATCACACTGGATACACGTTTCACAGTCTTTCTCAGATTGTTCAGATTTTCTTAAAACAAGAAAAAGAAGGAAAGGGTGGACATCTAGCCTTCAAATTTTGAGTGACCAAGAAATGTCTCTTGTTACTTTTTGCAACTTGAGTCTTGTTTTAATCGTTTTCGATCACCCTGTCTATCGCTAATAATAACAATGTACTTATCAACTTATCAACCAGTATACATACTAGGGCTGTTTTCCCTCCTTTCCTGTCAATCTT